CACAGTAATCTCAGAGACTCAACAAAATCTAAACTAAACAAACAAATATTTTTGTATCGTGAAAGAAATGGAGGGAAGGCAAAGAGCAGTAACAGTCTTTAGGCGGGAAAGTGGGTGGAGGGACGGATAAAATTTTTGTGATTTGTGGACCTTAAAATAAAAAAATAATATATTGTAATATGTGGGGTGTAAGTATAATTTACAATGTGAAGCATTTAGGACCGGTCTAAGAAATGGGAGACCGATCCTCGGTAAATATCACCTTTTTATCCCTTACCTATAACACTTTTTCTTAACTATCACACTTTTATCCCTTAAATAATAAAAAAAATCTCCAAAAATATTCAATTTTTTATAAATAGTCCCAATTTTTATTAACAAAAAAAATTAAATAATGAATAAAATCAAAAAATTAAAAGAATCGTAAATAATGCTTCCAATTGGGTCAAGTTATAATATTTTTGGATTGAGTTTCAATTTTTTTGGTGACTCCAATTCGCTACATCAAAAAAATCTTACTGTCCAAAAATATTCAATATTTTTTAAATACAAAAAATAAATAATAAATCAAATCAAATAAATAAATAAATAAATTGTAAATAATGCTTTGGTGTGGTTATAACTGGGTATAACTTTTTTTGAATTGGATTCTAATTTTTTGGGTGAGTCGAATTAGCTAGATCAAAAAAAAGTCCTAAAATATTCAATATTTTATAAATAGTTTCATTTTTTATTAACAATAAATAAATAATGAATAAAATAAAATAATTCAAATAATTGTAAATAATGTTTCCAACTATTTGGATTAGGCTTCATTTTTGGAGGTTATAACTCTCGATGGAAGGTTACAACTTTTTTGAGGTTCCAACTTCAGGTGGGTTCAAATTTGGGTGGGTTCTAACAGTTGGGGGAGGGGTCCAACTTTTTTGAGAAGTATTCAAATTTTTTTTTGGTAGAAGTTACAACTGTTTTGATAGGGTTCCAACTTTTTTGAGTTTTAATTTTTTGGATAGAGGTTTCAACTTTTCGGGTAGGGCTTCTAACTTTTTTTGGGGTGGGTTCCAACTTTTTTGATTAAAAGTTCCAACTTTTTTGTGTAGGAGTTCCAACGTTTTTGGGTAGAGGTTTCAACTGTTGGGGGTAGGGTTCCAACTTGGGTTAAGGTTCCAACTCTTGTGGGAGAGTTCCAACTTGTCCAAGGTTCGGTTCCAATATTTTTGGGTAGGGCTTCCAACTTTTTTGATTAAGAGTTCCAAATTTTTTGGGTAGGGGTTCCAATTTTTTTGGATAAAGGTTCCAACTGTTGGGGGTAGGGTTCCAACTTTTTCATTAAGGTTCCAACTCTTGTGGGAGAGTTTCAACTTGTCCAAGGTTCCAACTCTATAGGTGAGTTTTAACAATTGGGGGAGGGGTTCCAATATTTTTGGGTAGGGATTCCAATTTTTTTGGGTAGATGTTCCAACTCTTGGGGTAGGGGTTCCAACTTTTTTGGGGTGAATTTCAACTTTTTTGGTTAGGGATTCCAACTTGTTTGGATAGAGTTCTAACTTTTTTTATTAAGAGTTCAACTTTTTTAAGTAGGTGTTCTAATTTTTTGGATAGAGGTTGCAACTCTTGTGGTGTGGGGGGGAGGGTTCCAACTTTTTTAGATGTTCAACTCTTGGTGGTTCTAACAGTTGGAGAGAGGATTTCAACTTTTTTTGGTAGAGTTTCAACTTATTTCGATATAGGTTCCAATTCTTGGGGTATGGGTTCCAACTTTTTTGAATAGGGTTCTAACTTTTTTGGTTAGGGATTCAGCCTTTTTAGGCAGGTGTTCTAACTTTTTGGTAAAGGTTCCAACTCTTGTGGGGGGGGAGGGTTCCAACTTTTTTAGAGATTCCAACTCTTGGTGGATTCTAACAGTTGAGGGAGGGTTCCAACTTATTTGGGTAGGGGTTCCAACTTTTTTGGATAAGGGTTACAACATTTTTGGTTAGTGTTCTAATTTTTTTGGGTACGGTTCCAACGTTTTGGGTAGATGTTCCAACTCTTGAAGAATGTTCCAACTTTTTTTGGGTAGGAGTTCTAACTTTTTTTGGGGTGGGTTCTAACTTTTTTTGGGTAGGGTTCCAACATTTTTTGTAGCGGTTCAACTTTTTTGAAATGAGTTTCAACCTTTTTGGTAGGATTCCAACTCTTGGGGAAGGGTTCCAACTTTTTGTGGGTAGGGTTCCGGGAAAGGTTCAAACTCTTTGTGGGTGGAGGGAGATATAAGGTTTTTGTGATTAATATATTGTAATATGTGGGGTGTAAGTGTAATTTAAAATTTATGATCGATTCAAGAAATGGGAGACCGATCATGAGTAAATATCACCTTTTTATCCCTTAGCTATAACACTTTTATCCCTTTTTGTTTTAACTATCACACTTTTATCCCTTAAATAATCAAAAATATTTCCAAAAATATTTAATTTTTTATAAATAGTCCCAATTTTTATTAACAATAAAAATTAAATAATGAATAAAATCAAAAATTAAAAGAATCGTAAATAATGCTTCCAATTGGCTTAGGTTATAATATTTTTGGATTGGATTCCAATTTTTTGGGTGACTTCAATTCGCTGCATCAAAAACATCCTACTGTCCAAAAATATTCAATAAATAACAACAAATAAATAATGAATAAAATTAAATAAATAAAAGAATTGTAAATAATGTTTTGGTGTGGTTATAACGAATTATAACTTTTTTTGAATTTGGTCCAATTTTTTGGGTGAGTCGGATTAGCTAGATCAAAAAAAAGTCCTAAAATATTCAATATTTTATAAATAGTTTTATTTTTTATTATTATTAACAATAAATAAATAATGAATACAATCAAAAAATTCAAATAATTGTAAATAAAGTTTCTAATTATTTGGGTCATTTTTGGAGGTTATAACTCTTGAGGGAAGGTTCCAACTTGGGGGTGGGTTCTAATAGTTGGGGGAGGGGTCCAACTTTTTTGAGTAGGTTCCAATTTTTTTTGGGTAAAAGTTTTAACTGTTTTGATAAGGGTTCCAACTTTTTTTGTTATAGTTTCAACTTTTTTGGGCAGAAGTTCCAACTTTTGTAGATAGAGGTTCCAACTCTTTGGGCAGGTGTTTCAACTTTTTGGGTAGAGTTTCCAATTTTTTATGGGATGGGTGCCAACTTTTTTGATTAAGAGTTCCAACTTTTTTGGTATGAGTTTTAACTCTTTTGGGTAGTGGTTCCAACTGTTGGGGGGTAGGGTTCAAACTTTTTGGGTTGAGGTTCCAACTCTTGTGGGAGAGTTCCAACTTGTCCGTCCAAGGTTCCAACTCTATAGGTGGGTTCTAACAGGGGAGGGTTCCAATATTTTTCGGTATGACTTCCAACTTTTTTTGGGTATGGGTTCCAACTTTTTTGATTAAAATTTTCAACTTTTTGAGGTAGGGGTTCCAACTTATTTGGATAACGGTTCCAACTCTTGGGGTATGAGTTCCAACTTTTTTGGATATGATTTTAACTTTTTTAGTTAGGGGTTCAACTTTTTTAGGCAGATGTTCTAACTTTTTGGTAGATGTTTCAACTCTTGTAGGGGAGGGTTCCAACTTATTTTGGTAGGAGTTTCAACTTTTTTTGGTAGATGTTACAACTTTTTCGGTTGGTGTTCTAACTTTTTTAGATAAGGGTTCCAATGTTTTGGGTAGATGTTCCAACTCTTGAGGGTTCCAATTTTTTTTAGGTAGGAGTTCCAACTTTGTTAGGAGTGGGTTCTAACTTTTTTGGGTAGGGTTCCAATATTTTTGGTAGGGGTTCAACTTTTTTAGAGTGAGTTTCAACCTTTTTGTGGTAGGGGTTCCAAGTCTTGGGAGAAAGTTCTTACTTACCGGTTTAGTAGGTAACTGATGTCCACTTTTTTTAATTGATCAACGGTTATAAAAATAAAAAAATTACATCAATGGCCTAAGATAAATGACGGTATCGTACCGTAAAATAAAATTCGGTATCGCAGTCTAACCCATGTGACCGACGTCTGATCAACACCCATGTAATAAAATAGTTTTGGATAGAACTGAACCATCACCATTAATTGGAGTAGAAGGATCTCTTTATTTCTTTCTTTCTTTGGTGGGGGCAAGTGCTGTGACTTTAATCCTATCTCCGTAAAAGTCGTAGTTTTTTACTGTATTACACGTCTCACCGACGTCCACGTGAACGGTTCAGATTTAAAAAATTTATTTTTTTAATTAAGTTTAAAAATTTATTTAAGTTTAGTATATTTAAAAAACAAATAGAGTTCGACCGAGCCTAAAATGAGCTCAATCTGAATATTTATATATAAATAAATCTAATTTGTTGAGTTCAAGCCAAATTTTTCATGTTTATTATTTAAATGAACTTAAATAATTGTTTAAAATCAAATCATTTAAATAACGGGCGAACTTGAACGAACCAAAATAAATCAAATTCAAGACAAGCTCGACTAGATGTATTTCCCTACCGAAACATGGACAAAATGAGGAGCGTTGATTTTCTATATTCTTGATTTTGATTTTCTTTTATCCATCAGAATATTAATTTAACAAATTACACCATTAATAAATTAAAATAGTCCCATTGTTTTTTTTCCAAATTTTTTTACTTTTAAAAAATTAAACTTAACAATTTGTACAAAATATCACACATTTAAATAATTAATGGTGTGATATATTCAAAACAATTGTCGATGGATAAAGTGAAATTAAGGCATTGTTTAATCTATACTACTAATAAAAATACCTTAACAAGAAAATTTTTTGATTCACTATTTTATCCTCATAAATAATTAAAAATGTCATTATATCCTTCCACACTTAATATCTAAATTAGAGGCATGCCAAAGTGGATCACGGTCGGCCGTGGTCACACAAGTGGGAATTTTAGCCGAGGATGACGTAGAGAGGTATCTTTGAGGCAGTGGATATTTGGTAGCAGAGTTCAAAATTTTGAGGCGTTGCGTGCTGTCTTGGGATCTAATGATCATTGGATGAGATGGTTGGGGTAGGAGGCGGAAAAGGAAGATCAGGTGATATAGGTTGTGATGTAGTAGCAACGAGTGAAGAAGTGGCAGAAAGTAGTGGTGGGGGCTGAAAATGCGAGGCAGAGCTGGAGGAAATTTCTGCTGATGTAGAGGGTGGGTTGAGAAAAGCAGCAGCAATTGGAGAAGTAATGGTTTCAATGGTGGGTGATGGAGTTGTAACGGGTTTTGTTACCACTGGAGGAGGTGGAAGATGGACTGTAGTTGGATGTGATGGTGAAGAATGTGGAGACACAGAACCTGCCTACAACAGCAAAGGAAGTCTCATGAAAGACTACATTTCGGGTTTAGTTCACTTCCCGACTGTGAGGATCAAAGCACCAGTAGCCATAATGTTGCGGACTATAACCAAGAAAGATACATTTTGTTGAACGAAAATGTAACTTGTGAAGGCGATATGGTCATAGGCATGGATAGCATAACTTAAAATAATTGTGAGTAAAAGGAGATACTCAAATTAAGAGTAAAACCCTGTATATATAGGCAAAATATAAAAATCATAGTAAGGGTAAAAAAGGGAAAAGAAATCCTAAAGGGAAAAGAAATCCTAATAAACCTAGGAAAAAGAAATCCTAATAAACCTAAACTATCTATACTCCAACACTCCCCCTCAAGCTAGGCGCAAAAATGTCAACTAAGCCAAGCTTGACAACGGAGTCCCGAAGAATAGACAGAGTGACAGGTTTGGTAAAAACATCCGCAACTTGATCACTGGTCCCCACAAACGATGGAGTAACAAGACCACTGCTGACCTTCTCCCGAAGAAAGTGAACATCGATCTCTATATGCTTCGTTCTCTCATGTAGTACAGAGTCAGAAGCGAGCTGAATAGCAGATTGATTATCACAATATAATGTGGATGGAGAGGTCACTGAAAAACCCAACTCGTCAAGAATCGATCGTAGCCAGATAATCTCACATGTGCCAAGTGCCAATGCCCGATACTCTGCCTCTGCGGACGAGCGGGAGACAACTGCCTGCTTCTTGCTCTTCCAAGAGATAAGATGAGTCCCTCGAAAAGCACAGAAACCCGTAGTAGATCGACCATCACATGCTCCCCCATAATCTGAATCTGAATAACAGGCTAGAGAACCGGTCTGAGATCCTGATGCATAAAACAACCCAAGTCCAGGACAAGACTTGAGGTACCGAAGAATATGATAAACTGCATCAAGATGAGGCTGACATGGCCTATGCATGAACTGACTAACTCGGCTGACTGCGAATGAAATGTCCGGCCTAGTATTGGCTAAGTAGATAAGTCTACCTACCAATCTTTGATAAACTGTCGGATCTTTCAACTCCTCACCTTCAGCAGTAAGCTTCAGGTTTGGAATCATAGGTGATGATGCCGGTTTGCACCCCAACATCCCAGTGTCTGAAAGAAGATCCAAAACATACTTTCTCTGAGAAAGAACAATACCTCTGCTTCTACGGGCAACCTCAATCCCAAGAAAGTATCGCAGAAATCCAAGATCCTTCACATCGAAGGCCTTCCCAAGGTCTATCTTGACCTGCGCAGTCCCAGAAACATCATCACCAGTAATAATAATATCATCAACATATACCAGAAGGATGACACACTGTCCAGAAGTATTCCGTCGAATAAAGCAGGTATGATCAGAATGACACCTGGTGAACCCCAATCGTATGACTACATCACTGAAGCGAGAGAACCAGGCTCGTGGCGACTGTTTCAGTCCATAAAGAGACTTACGCAGTCGACATACCTTTCCAGCATACTCCCCCTCACCACGAAAGCCCGGTGGTGCATCCATATAAATAATCTCGTCCAGATCACCGTGAAGAAACGCATTCTTCACATCTAATTGATGAAGAGGCCAAGAGTACTCCGCAGCCAGAGAAATAATTAACCGAACAGTAGTCAATTTTGCCACGGGGGCAAATGTAGCACCAAAATCACGACCTGGTACCTGAGTAAAGCCCTTCGCCACAAGTCTAGCCTTGTAACGATCAATAGTACCATCTGCCAGAAACTTCAGGGTGTAAACCCAGCGACAGCCAACAGGCTTCACCCCTGAAGGTAAGGAGACAAGATCCCATGTATGATTACGCTGAAGAGCGTCCATCTCTGTCTGCATGGCAAGAACCCACTGGGGCTCCCGCATAGCTTCCGAAATAGAGCGAGGAACCAGCGTATCTGATAAGGCCATAGTATAAGCTCGAAATGTGGGAGACAGATTACCATAAGAAACATAAGCAGAGATCGGATATAAAATCTTTGCGGTCCAACCATATCGATCAACTGGACGGCGATCATGCTGCGAGAAGGTGGCTTAAGCTCTGGATGGAGCTTCCAGCAAGTAGCCCTGAGATGTCCTGGTCGGCCACAATAATCACATTGACGGGAATCCCCCCGTCTGCGCTGATCTGGGGCGCCCTGACGGCGCTGGTCTGAGCGTTGCCCATCCCTGACTAAGGATCCTGAACGGGACCCTACAGCAGCTGCAAGGGCCATCTGGTCAATCGAAGGAGGCAAAGCTGCAACTGGAAGTGATGCAATACGGACTCGACGCTCATGCTGCTCAATCATCCCATACACCTCATAAAGAGAAGGAAGTGTCAACATCGACAAGATCTGAGAACGAGGTCCCTCAAACTCATCACGAAGCCCCATAAGGAACTTGTGAATCCTATCCTCCTGCTCTCGAGTATGCAAGAATGCTGCTCCCTCGGGCTCTATCTTCGGAATAGCAGCAAGAGGACGTAGAGACTCATACTCAAGCCAGCGCTGGGTCAAATAGCCATAATAATCCTGAACGGTCATATCTCCCTGCCGAGCATATGAGAGCTCCTGAGAAAGCTCATAAACACGAACTCCCCGTCCTGACTGAGAATACATCTCTGATAATGCGCTCCATAGCTTCGGAACAGAGCTATGAAACTGGTGGATCTTGCAAACAGAGGGCTCCATTGAGCCAAATAACCATCCAAGAATGGCACAGTTTTCAGAGAACCATGCAGAATATCCAGGGTCGGCATCAGCTGGCTTTGGGTGAGATCCCGTCAGCCAACCAAGCTTCCCTACACGGCCTAAGAAAAGCTGGAATGAGCGTGACCACTCAGCGAAGTTACGACCATTCAACAATTGTGCCGTAACTTTTTGAGAGATCATGCCCGGTAATGCTGGTAATGCAACTGTGCTAGTAGGCACTGTATACTGGTCAAACATAAAAGTGGAAGTACCCATAGATGTCTCAACGGTAGAGGTGTCAACAGTAGGGTTCTCAAATCCCTCAGTAGTAGCCATATCAACAACAATACTAGGGCACCCGTGACAGAAAAATAACTCTAAGATAAATAGAGGAATAAAATAAGGGAGAACAATATACCTTCAGTCGAACAGTAGCGACAAATAGGGAAGGTCCAAAAAGCTCCCAAATAATCAAGTCACGGTGCCCAGAAATCCAAAATATATAAATAAGTGATCTACTGCATCAAGGGCAGATCAACAGAGTGTACAAGACTAAGGCCTAAAATTGAACGGAAGAGATTGGGCAAAAACGAGGGCCAAGACGAAGCGACGGCTTGATCAAGGCGGACAGCGACGGCGCCGTCACTTTAACCTCTCCTATTCAACTTTCAGGCAGTTGATGGCCAGGGTGGTTTCGGCGGTATGGCTGGTAGAGCCATACACTAACCCTACCCCAAACCCTAACCTTGCTCTGATACCAACTTGAAATAATTGTGAGTAAAAGGAGATACTCAAATTAAGAGTAAAACCCCGTATATATAGGCAAAATATTAAAATCATAGTAAGGGTAAAAAAGGGAAAAGAAATCCTAAAGGGAAAAGAAATCCTAATAAACCTAGGAAAAAGAAATCCTAATAAACCTAAACTATCTATACTCCAACAGCATATAAACCCAAAAAATTTAAGAAAATTGTAATCCGAAGGCCATTGAAATAATTTTGCAAACGGAATCGAATTTTGTAAGAACTTCGACGAAAGACGATTGATCAAATAAACTGCCGTTTCAAATGCAAAATTCCAAAATACAAGTGACAGTGAAGCATGTGCCAATAATTTTCGGTGCAGCCATTTTGTTGAGGGGTATGAGGACAAGAAACTCCATGTCCGATGCCATGTTGTGCGAGATATGATGAAACCGTGCGATATTCAAACCCACAATCATTGTGAAGATATTTAATCTTGTAGGAAAATAAACTTTTAACTAAAGTATGAAACTTGACAAAACAAGGCAATACATCATCACTTTTATTATAAATGGGAAAAAGTCATGTAAATTTGTTAAAGGCATCTACAAAGTGAGCGCAGTAGCGATGTCCATTAAAAGGTGGCATCGGGGCTGGACCCCAAACATCCGAGTAGACAATTTCCCAAGGTGTAGTCAATGGAGTAGAAGGATTACGAAATGGGACAGGAGAGCATGACTTTTTCATTGTTGGCATGCTTCACGGATGGCATAGCTCTTATTGGTGGTGATGTCTGCACCTAGTTGCTTCAAACCACCATGAACAATACGAAAAGCGGCATGCCCAAAGCGTTCGTGCCATACAACAGTTGTTTCTTGAAGAAGAGTAGTCTTATTGTCATCCTTATTAAACCGGATTTCATAAAGTCCATCAATGCTCGGGCCGCGAAGTAGAACTTTCCTCGTGTTGTTGTCCTTAATACAAAAATGAGAGGCATGAAATTCAAACCAACAACGATTAGCCTTGGTGAATTAATGAACAGAAAGGAGATTGCGTTTTACGCTTGGGAACATGTAAAATATCTTTGAAAGCGAAGGAAGAATTATGATTGTGAACAGAGAAAGAGCCAAGATGTTTAATGTCCAAGCATGTGCCATTACCGATTTGAATAGTGTCATTGCCATGGAATTCGAGGGAGACGTTCAAATTGGAATGGTCTGAGGTAATGTGAAGGGTGGCGCCAGATCAGGATACCATTGATCAATGAGAATGGTTGGAACTGAGATGTTGTAAGCCCGTGGAAACTAGGTAGTGGCAGGTGTATGGAAATGCTTTATTGCAGTGGTTGTGACAATGAAGCGCCACATGCCCGATGCAATTACAAACTTTACAAATAGGGCGAGAGGAAGAGTGCAGGGAATCTGCACCAGAACCATGAGATTGGCCACCAGAACTGTGAAAATTGTTACCAGATGAATATCATCCACGACCACGACCTCCTCTGTTGCGATTGTCGTGGCCACAATTTTGCTGGGTTGATCTGTAGTTTGGGTGCGAAGAAAGGGA